CAGGTTTGTCTTGATGTTTCTATTTTAATAAGTATTGTCTAATACCTTTCATAGAAATATCAGTTTACACAACTTACACCAGAGCACAAAATTTCTATCTCCTCATGCCCCCAGCACTACAGTATGTGAGGACTTTTAGGATCATTGACATCATAGTAACCTTGATCAAATCCTAGAAGTTAGTAGATGTATTTACTGAAACCTGTAATCCCAACACTCAAGAAGGTGAGGTAAGGGGATTGCCATGAGTTCTATGTTAGCACGTGCTACAGTGTAAAACCCAGTCTCAAAAATACTTGCAAGCTGGGTGCATAAGGATCAGCAGTCAAGGTCATCCTCCCTACACAGCAAGTTTGAAGCCATCCAGCTACTAACCATGTCATTAAGTTCCAGCCTAGTGTCAGGATTTATTTAGAAAAGTTACTTCCTATTTGAGTGTCTTTTAGATTCAGTAATCCCCTTTAGCTTGGGTTCTAGCAAAGCCCACCAGTCTAACACTAGAGACATGATACTATCTCCGTTATGAATTCTACTATAAGCAGCCAAGTTATTCAGACACTGAGGGTGGAGGTGGGGTGCGGAAGCTCTGTCCCTGACTCAACAGACCAGTTTCACTCAGGAGCCAACAATAATCAAAAGTAAAGTGACACATTCTTTCACTTGAAAATCTGGTTTTGTTGTAGGACAGAAATTAACATAAGAGTTCATTGGTTAGCTACGTGTTATTTTTTTGTGTACATCCTTATAATTAATGGCTGTAACTAAAATCTAACACAGTGTAAAGTCAATAAAAATTAGTTTCTTACTAACAGGCCAGCTGATGGATAAACAAACATAAATAAATGAACCTGTCAGACCTGTTTCTGAAGAATCCCTCCAGCTATGAACAGCTTTTTACTTTATTAAGAGGTTGGGAACGGGTGGTAACAGGGATATGAGGCAGTGACCTTACTTTCCCACAAAGCTTAATGTATTTACTACTGGGTCTTTTACAGAAAACATTTGCTAACTCATGCAATAAAAAGTATCCCACATTATATAAGAGAAAGATGATGGCACAGTTAAGTGCATTGGTTTCGTTGTTTCTGTTTGTTTATTTGTTGCTGTTTTAAGATAGTCTCATGTAACCTAGGCTGGCCTCAAACATAATATGTAACTAAGGATGACCCCGAACTACTTCTGTGCTTCCTGATGCTTCCTCCTAAGTGCTGGAGTACAGACATGAAGAACTGAGTTTAGAGCCCCACCATCCATGTAAAGTGCTAGTGTAAATCACCTATGTCTGCAATCCTAGGTCGCAGGGAGCAGAGACTAGAGCAGAGATGGAGATCACTGCCCAACCCAGGCTAGCCAATTACTGAGCACTGTGTTCAGTAGGAGATCCTATCTCAAAAAAAGATAAAATTGGGGACTTAATTCCAGTTCCAGGGGATCAACACCCTCTCTGACCTCTGTAAGCACCAGACACATATATAATGCAGGAAAGTACTCATACACATAAAATAAAATAAGTTTTTTTTGAGTGGAGAACAACTAAAGAAAGCATCTGATGCTAACCACTGACCTCTACATGCACTCATATGCACCCATGAGCACACACACAGCTGTACTGCACACATGTGTATCCGCATGAACACACTATATACTACATGCACTCATATGCACCCATGAGCACATACACACAGTTGTACTGCACACATGTGTATCCGCATGAACACACTATATACTACGTGCACTCATATGCACCCATGAGCACACACACAGCTGTACTGCACACATGTGTATCCGCATGAACACACTATATACTACATGCACTCATATGCACCCATGAGCACACACACAGCTGTACTGCACACATGTGTATCCACATGAACACACTATATACTAAACACATTCAGGTTTTTCGTTTGTTTGGTTTGGCTTTTGCTTTTGTTTTCCTTTTGAGACAAGATTTCCCTGTGCAGTCCTGACTGTTTTGGAACTTGCTCTGTAGACCAGGCTGGCCTCAAACTGACAGAAATCCACCTGCCTCTGCCTCCTAAGTGCTAGGATTAAAGGCATGAGCTACCACCCCCCTACTTTTTTTTTTTTTTTTTTTTTTTTGGTTTTTCGAGACAGGGTTTCTTTGTGGCTTTGGAGGATATCCTGGAACTCGCTTGGTAGTCCAGGCTGGTCTCGAACTCACAGAGATCCGCCTGCCTCTGCCTCCCGAGTGCTGGGATTAAAGGCGTGCGCCACCAACGCCCGGCTTGAACTCAGGTTCTTATGCTTGCACAGCAACTGCTCTTACCCCCTGAGTCATATCCCCAGTTCATGAATTATACTTCAAAAATCTGTTTCTTATTACTGAAGAAGCAAGCACGTGACACAATGGGTATGTAGAGGTGAGGGGCAACTCTGGAACCAGTTCTCACTTTCCACCTTTATGTGGGTTCTGGTGATTAAACCCAGCTTGGCAGGCTTTCACAGTAAGTATTTTTACCCACTGAGCCATCTTGCCAGTTCTCATGAATTATAATTTACTTTTTAAAAAACGTCTGGGTACCAGGAAGTGGTGGCTCACGCCTTTAATCCCAACACTACAGAGCCAGAGGCAGATGGATCTCTATGAGTTCCAGGCCACCAGGGCTGTTACACAAAGAAACCATATCTCCAGAAGCCAATAAAACAAACAACCCTAAGTCTTTGGGACTGGAGAGATGGCTCAGTGGTTAAGAGCATGGGCTGTCCTTCTAGAGGACCCAGGTTCAATTCCCAGGCCCCACAACTGTCTATAACTCCAGTACTCCAGTTCCAGGATCTAACACTTTCAGACTAATGTACATAAAATAAATAAGGTAAATAATTTTTTAAAATGTCTGAGCAAGTCAAGCATAGTGGTGTATACTTTTAATCCCAGCACTCTGGAGGAGGCAGAGGTAGGTGGATCTCTCTGTGGGTTCCAGGACAGCCTGGCCTACATATGAGTTCCAGGACAGCAAGGACTACATAGTGAGACTCTGGGAAAACAAACAAACAGACAAATAAATAAAATGTCTGGGGGAGATGTCTCAGTAGACAAAGGACTGTAATCCCACTGCTCAGGACAGGGGATCCCCGGAGCAAGCTGGCTAGCTAGGCTAGCTGAATTGCCAAGTTCTGGGTTGAGTGAGAGTCCCAGACTCAATATATATGGTAAAGAGAAGCACATGACACCAACTTCTGGCCTCTTCACTTTCATGCACACATATGTACAGGTATACCTGCACACACATACACCTTTACACAAATATGCATGCATACATATTCATAAAAACTTTTAACTGGGATTCTGAAATTTTTCCTGTTGGGACTGGAGAGATGGCTCAGTAGTTAAGAGCACTGGCTGCTCTTCCAGAGAACCCGGGTTCTATTCGCAGCACCCACATGGCAGCTCACACCTGTTTATAACTCCAGTTCCAGGGCATCTGACATCCTTACACCAATGCACATGAGATAAAGTTAAATAAAGTACTTTTTAAAAATTCCTGTCATTGCTATTGTAATGTAAAGCCTTAACAAAATAATTGTAGAAGCCAATACATATAAAATGGATTTCAAGACTGATGAGGTAGCCCCATGGTTGAGTTTGTGTTTAGCATGGGCAAGCCCTAGGTTTGGTCCTAATGGGAAAATCAAACAGCAAAAGGAAAAACATGGATTAGGAAGATATTTCAACTCTTACTATAATTGAGATGGCAGAACAACTACTCTGTAAGTATGGTGGCAAAGAGACTAAAGAGACTGAGAGATGGATCTGTGCTTACTATTCAAAAGCCCAAACCCGAAGACCTGAGTTCAAATCGCAGAAGCAACACAAAAGCTGGACATGGAAGCTAAAGCTTCTCATCCCTTACCCTCCCTGGGGAGACAGGAGGCAGAGACAGGAAAACCTCAGAAGCTCCCAGGGCCTGCTAGGTTGGATTACACAGTGGCAAAGAATTGTCTTCTGACCTCCATACTGTGGAAGAGTGCTTGTACTCACACATGAACCCATTCACCCACAGGTGCCATAGCACAGATATAGTCAAAATGAAAATGCTATTACTAACTAAAAAGTCTTCCAGATCTAGAACAACTTTAGGTGAAGGTGAGGAAAAGTGCCTTATTAAATACATTTTTCAATATTTGATCATAAACCAAAATCACAACACTATGGAGACATTTTTTTAACCAGACAGGGTTTCTCTGTATAGTTTTGGAGGCTGTCGGTCCAGCCCAGGCTCGAACTCACAGAGATCTGCCTGCCTCTGCCTCCCGAGTGCTGGGATTAAAGGCGTGCGCCACCACCGCCCGGCTGGAGACATTTTAAGAACACAGGAATCTTACAAGGATGTTACTAGGGGGCTGGAGAGATGGCTCAGTGGTTAAGAGCACTGTCTGCTTTTCCAGAGGACCTAGGTTCAGTTCCCAGAACCCACATGACAGCTCACAACATAATGTAACTCTACTTCCAGGATATCTGACACTCTTACAAAGATGTACATGCAAGCAAAACAATATAATAAATAATTTAAAAAGGAATAGTACTACTATGATGCCATTTTATCATAAACAGCCCTACACCCCCTCCACAATTGCTGGGGCATGAACCCAGGTCCTGTCTATCCCTGAGCCTAAGCTACCCAGCATTACACAATAACAAACTCAACACACTTCATTGAAGGCTAACTTTACCCGTCAGCTATTTTCTTGGTGAAAATGTCAACAAGGTCAATTTCAAAGTGATATAACAAGGCCATGTCGCATGTCTAAGTATGTCATCAAGAATTACTGAGGTTTTAAAGTGAATGTTATTTCAGCTTGTATTCTTGCACAACAATATAAAGGTTTACTGCTTTGATGACAATATTCCATTTCCTGTGTGTGTGTACAAATCAAATTATTGAATTTGAAATGTTTTCTTGACTGATAATGAATAGTAATTCCTATTTAAACACCCCAAACACAATAAGTAAATGATGAATGAATGAGCTGTTTACCTACAACATTGTCAAGGACCAAGATTCTTCAATTCAGCCATTCCAGTACATTCTACACAAGATATAGGCAAAGGCATCTCGTTGGAGATTTCAGGGAAGAATTTGCAAGAATACTTTATGTAAGCCAGGCGGTGGTGTTGCTTGCCTTTAGTTCCAGTATTCGGGAGGCAGACAGATGAATATTTGTGAGTTCAAGAGCAGCCTTGTTTGTAGAGCGTTCCACGATAAGTTCCAAAGCTGCAGAGAAACCCTGTCTCGAAAAACCAAAAAAGAAAAAAAGAAAAAGGTTTATACAAATACTTCAACTTGTCATTTTATTAGCAAGAGTCAGCACCGTCACTACCCATTAGTTCTGCCTCTGTGAAGCTGGGAGTCATAAGCAAACTTGCCTAGGGCTTTCAGAGTTTGTTTTACGTAACTAGGAAAACTCCGAGTGAGGCCCAGAATTTCATTATCTATTATGGTAGGAAGCAGAGGCTCACACCAGGGAAGTGACTTGCTCAGTTAACAGACTAGTCAGTGACGGACCTAGGACTGGAAGTTGGGCCTTCTAAACACAAAGCTTCTATGCTGCAGCACTCTCTACTTCTCCAATTGGGAAAGATTTCAGAGGTAGGCTTTGGTTTGCCACTGGAGAAAGAGGGGAAGAAGGGAGGACAACGGAGAAATAATGAAGCAGGCAATCACAGGAGACTCATTAGAAGAAAGTGAGTCCAACCACTCTTAACTCTTTCCAAGTAGTCTTTAGATGGCAACAAGGATCACAAGTTACCTATCCTGTGTGTGTAGCCATCATGTTGGAAAAGTAAACACACCAAATAAATCTAACCATTTTTTCTAGTCAGATGTTCTGACAGCTGAGCTTAGCCCCTCCTACAGAATCTGTAGCCCCCTCTTTCGTTACTTTAAATGTAGAAGCCCCAGGGCATGTGGGAATAAAGAAGGCTTGTCACCATGGGGCGGGTCGCTCAGGTTAGGCTACGGAAAGGCGGAAGCCTGCGGTGGAGATGTGGTTGGGGGATGTGGGTTTTGTGGCTGAACTCGATGTTGGTGTAAGGAAACCAGGGGAGACGATGGCTGAGTAGAGTTCGCCCGCCCAAGAGGGGCGCGGAGGGGCTGAGACCGTATCCCAGAGGTGCTCAGCCTAGGGTCTCCAGTACCAGGACGAGGGCGGGGCCCCTCTGGAACGCCAGCGATTGGATGCTCCCTAAGTCCCGCCTTCCCGGACCCTTTCCCTGAGGCCCCGCCCACAACGCCAGGCGCGCGCCTCGGGAGCCGGGAGGGGTCGGGGCGGCGGCGGCGGGAGGAGAGAGGTGAGGTTCCGGCACGCGCCCCACTCGCTGCGAGAGCGCGAACGGCGCGCTCCCGCGGCTCGCGTCGCCATCTTTTCCCCCCTCTGTCCGTCTGTCTGCTGTTGGCTTTGTCCGTCCGCCGCGCCGCCCCTCGCCTCCCCGCCGCCATCCCGGCCTGCAGCCACCCTCTGCCAGCCGGGGTCCGGTCCCGGAGAGCCCCGGCCCGGCTAGCCCGAGCTGCGGCCGGGGCCCATTGTCCCGCGGTCTGTCTGTCCGGAGGCGGAGCCCAGGGACGCGGAGCACCGAGGCAGCGGGTAAAGCGCCCCCGCACCGGGAGCCGGCAGCTGGTGTAGCTCCCGCCGCCCCGCGCCGCCGTCCGCCTTTTGTCTGCCGGCGCCTGGGGAGGGGTGGGCTCGGCGTAACTGCGGTGGCTGGGTGCGGGCCTCGCGGGCCGGTGTCTGACAGGCTGGGGTGGAGCTGGGGGAGGGGAGGATGGGCGTGGGAGAGCAGACGGGGCGGGGGGCACGGGCCGTCCTGGCGCGGGCGGGCGGAGGAGCTACTAAATTTAGATTTCAGAGAAGGCTGAGTGGTCGGAGTGTTGGTCCGAGCCGCTTCGGGAGACCTCTGACTCCAATCTAATACCTGGGATTTACCTGTGCTCCCGTTCGAGAAATCCGGAGGGGCCATCTCAGTTGATGGCACACACGAGTTCCAGCCCCTACCCTAGAGGATCCAGGGACAGTGAAACGGCTGTATGACCGACCACCTTCTCTCCTTTTTGGCAGATTCAAATCACTCGGATTCGGGCGAGTTTACTTTGCTCCGTGGGAACCTCACCAAAGCTGGAGGTGGGAATGCACTCTCTTTTCTTAAGGCTGGCCTTACACGAACACGTACACGCGCGCGCGCACACACACACACACACACACACACACACACACACACACACACACACACACAATCAATCTGTAGTGTATCCTGGAAGCTACATCCTAACACCTGTGGGAGAGCAAAGACAAGGATGGAAGGGGGTGGTGCACCCTCCCAATACTGTGGCTCTATAGATGACAAAACTGCTCCCTTTAAAAGTAGCAACCCTTGTAGGTCTGTCTGATCCTCAGTTAACCGTTCTTCCCATTCCAGTTTCCTTCCAGAAGAAGAGGTTCAGGCAGCTAGCTCTCCAGTTACATTCCTAGCTTAAGTTTCACATTTAGGCAACGCTGAAGCTAAAGGGGACCGTGTGACCTTTTAGACAACGTACCTACAGGTCTTGTTTTGTTTGTTTTAATAAGGTTGCTGCCTATAAAACTGACCTCAGATATTGTGCTGTTTGGGTCAGGAGTGTCCTTCCAGTGTCGTTTGTGTTTCTTATTTATTTTCAAGGGTTTCCCCCACCTCCAGACTTCTCTTTCTGGTGGGTGTGTTAATGATTGTGGCTTGGCTTTGTTTTGTGGGAGGGGAGGGTGTGTGTTTATTTTTCCTTTGATTCTTCAGGTGTGAAGTCCCATGAGGTACCATCTGGTCAGTTCCCCATTGGACCACTAGGAGGATGGAGAGAAACAGTGATCTGCCGCCTTTCTGAATATGCAGCTCGTCGCTGCATATTTAATCTCTTTGCCTGGTAGCTTTAGTATTGAACTTTTGTTCAGATAAAGCCTGACTTGGCATTCCTTCAAATAGACTTTATTATCTCTTTCTTAGAGCTTAATTCCTGATCTTCGTGGGGGTACATGAAGATGAGATTCCATTTGTTTATACAATAGAGAAGTGTAGGAAAATAAACAATCTGCTTTTCATTCAGCTTTCTACTTTGGGATTCCACAGACACAAAGAAAAGGATCTAAAGTGTGATGTTCATTCACAGCTTGTATTAAAATGTCTAGAAGGAATAAACCACGTGTAGCCATGCACATCTTTAATCTCACTAGTCAGAAGGCTGAGGCTAGAGGGTCATTTGAGGCCAGGGGTTTAAAGTTGATACACAATCTCCAAAAAGAGAGAAGACCGAGAAAAGGGACCACCCCCTACAGCTGGGGTGTAGCTTAGTTGGTGGAGTGCTTGTCCAGTATGCACACAGTCCTACCTAGCATGCACAAAGCTTTAGGTTCAGTCCCCAGCACCACATAAAACTGGGTAAGAAGGCAAATGCCTGTATTATTTTGAGACAGGAATATCAGAAATTCAAGGTCATTCTTTGCTACTTAACCTAGTTCAAGACCAGTTAAAAATATATGAGACTCATATTTCCAAGCAGGGAAAAAAAGAAGAAAAGCAAGATAATACTTACCCTTGGTATTAGCTATCAGTATGCTGCTGTCTAAAATTGTTTATTTCTATTGTACATATTAGGAGTTATTTTCCTTTTTTTAATTGAAGGTCTGAAAAGAAGTGTGTTTGGTATGCAGATATGATAGAAGACTGCCTGAAAGCTGCTTCCTTTGCCACTTCCTGTGGAGGCCTGTCTTTGCCATTTGCGGTTTCTTTCTTCTTTTGGTAAGGGGAGGCAGGATCTGATTACAGGTTTGAGGGCCTTTCTAGCTACATAGAGAAGTTAGTTGGATTAGCAGGTGAGTCTTCATTAACTAGAGTGCAAAGTACAACTAGTAGCTTCTCTTAAAGCAGTGGACTATGTAATTTCTATATGTGAGTGCAATTTAAGAAAGCAGGGACTGAAATTAATCGGGGAATGATTAAATGCACTTTTCACTTTGCATTTGTTCACTCTGGTGTCTGTCTGTCTGGTTCTGTGGTGTTGGGAATTGAATCCAGGGCCTGACACATGCTAAGCAAGTGCTCTGCTACCACATTATCACACCTCAGCCCTCACTCTGTCTTTTAAAGAAAAGGCCACAGCTTCTGCAACTAATCCATTCCAGAGCCTCTTATAGTGCTTATGGCTGAACCAGTCTTACAGTTAATCAGGAACCTTCGGGCCTAAGAATGTGCCTGCTCTGTTGTCAGAGAGGCAGACGCACATCTCTGCTGCTCTCCTCCCATAGGGAGCATTTCTCTTATTCCTTCTTGGTCCCCTTGCTACACAGCAGGATTGAGAAAAGGCAATAAAATTATGATCTTCCACCACCCCTCCAGAACATAGGAGGTGTTCCTCATTGGGAGACTGAATTAGTACTCCGCAATGTGGATGTCATCACTCTTCTGTTGAGAGCCTGTCTTAAGTGTAGAAGTTTGACTTGCTCTGGTGCCATCATGCTAGGTGCCTGGTAGTGTGTCTGCATTGCAGATAAGTGATACCTTTGTTACCTCTCAGCATTGTATCTCAGAAAACCATCTAGAGGTACAGATTGCAGGCCTTGACTTCCAGTTGCACATGTGACAAATCAGCTGCTACAGGTCTTTGTCATGCTTTTGCTTTCTCACATCTGGGAGTAATCCCTTTAATCCATATTAATTCTAACCTCGATTGCCTGAATATGCATCCTTTTCTGCTCTGTGATCTTGACTGACACTTAGTAGTGGTCTGGATTCCAAAGACAGCTTTAGAGCATCTCTTTAAGTCCTCTAAAAGTAGTCACCTCTTAAGCTTCTTGGGACCTTGACACTAGGTTAGAGATTGATTTACTTTTTTCATTTCATTAGCTCAGTTATTTATATCTGGTGAATTTTATATGCTCAAGGTATTTTTTAAATCTTTGAAATTTCTAATTTTGTAATTTCTGGGGATAATAACAGGCTAACTATCTTTTTTTATCTATTTTTATTTTTGCAGGTTAGCAGCATACAAGGAGGTAGTGACATTTCCAGTGGTGAAACTGGGAAAGACCAGAGCTTTTGTATCAGGGAAACATGTCCCGTAGGAAACAGACAAATCCAAATAAAGTTCACTGTGAGTACTGGGCTTTGTCTTCTGGAACCTGGGAAGATGAGGGTCAGAATGAAAGAGAAACCTAAATTTAGGGCGAGAGACCCACACTCATTTGTGGAAGAAAAGAAAGGGCTA